GACAAGAGAATGAGTTCATATGTGAGGGTTAGCTGCTTGGTCATCTTTGCACATTGCCCACTTCCTGTCCTTCCATGGCAAGGAGTGTAGGTCATGGTTCCTCTGGCATCAAGGCTAATGAGAGGGCAAGAAAGACAAGATAGAGGATCCTAGCAGCCACTGCTCAGAGTTGGCATTCTGTTTCTCAAAAAGCATATATCTCAATGCTGAGTGAGATTAAGGATTTGGTAAGAATACATCAGTTAACAAGATGGGGTGTTAATTTCTATTGCTGCAGGCGTTCTCACACCTCCCTCCCCACCAAAGAAATACACAGTGGATGGGTGGGGTCTTATCTGGTGCAGGCTCACCTCAGTAGCCATGGGATCCCTCCCCAACAGGTGTTCCAGACAGCAAGTGAGCGGGTGGAGACAGAGGGCCTGGCAGCCCTCCACTCCCTGACTGCGTGTTTGTCTCGCTCTGTGCTGAGGGCTGATGCTGAGGACCTCCTTGACTCCTTCCTTAGCAGCATCCTACAGGGTAATGGGGCCATGGCAGCCAGAAAGGGGCGTGAGCATGATAGAGGTAACATTCCTTAAGGGCCACTAATCTTTCATATGTAGCCCCAACAGTGATTTGGGGGCTGCAGCCCTCAGTTGAATTGAAGACAATTTGAGTAGCAACTGCTAACAGATTGTCCCAGGTCTCAGTCTCCAGCCTTTGTGGTCTCTAGGGGAATCGGGCCACATTGGGCCTGCTTCTCAGGTCTGTGATGTGCTGCCTTTTTAGACTGCAGGCACCATGTGTGTGAACCGGACATGAAACTCGTGTGGCCTAGTGCCAAACTGTTGCAGGCAGCTGCAGGTGCATCTGCCCGAGCCTTTGACCACATCACTAGCAACATATTGCCTTTACTGCTGGAACAGTTCCACAAGCACAGTCAGGTAAGGGAGCGGAGCCTTTGGGAGAAATGGTGGGACCTGTGTGCCAGGACCCTTTTCTCACAGAGAACAAACTGAGCTTTAACTTGGGCTCAGATAGAAGATTGTGGTTATTGCTTCAATTAGATGCTGCTGGTTCTCTTGTTCACTCTTCCCTTACTCTTACGTAAAAGGATAATTCTTGGCTCGGCACCTGTGGCTCAAGTGGCTAAGGCGCCAGCCACATACACCTAAGGTGGCGGGTTCGAATCCAGCCCAGGCCTGCTAAACAACAATGACGGCTGCAACCAAAAAATAGCCGGGCATTGTGGTGGGCACCTGTGGTCCCAGCTACTTGGGAGGCCGTGGCAAGAGACTTGCTTGAGCCCAGGAGTTGGAGGTTGCTGTGAGCTGTGATGCCACAGCACTCTACCCAGGGGGACAGCTTGAGGCTCTGTCTCAAAAACAAAACAAACAAACAAACAAAAAAACAAATAAAAGGATAATTCTCTCTACTCCCAGAATTGAAATTCTTGAAATCTTCCAAAATATTCTTTGACTCCAGTACCCCTTAAAACATTACAGAGCAACCAGCGGCGGACAATCCTTGAAATGATCCTAGGTTTCTTGAAGCTGCAGCAGAAATGGAGCTATGAAGACAAAGGTGAGATTACCTTCTATTTGTATCCTAGGGGCTGGAGCACTGTACCCTCCACAGGATGGCAGGGCAGAGTGCTATATAGTAGTCTAGGTCAGTGGTCCTGCTATTCTGAGGTTGTAGCACAAGAGACCACTTAATGGATGAGATTTTTTTCCCAACATGCTTCCTTGGACACCCATGGATTAAGCCAGGGGTCCTCATACTTTTTAAACAGGGGACCAGTTCACTGTCCCTCAGACTATTGGAGGGCTGGACTGCAGGCCTCGGGACGAGTCAGCTGCTGAGCAGGACAGGCAGCAGCAGCAAAAACACCCGATGGGCCAGATAAATGTCCTTGGCAGGCCGCAGTTTGAGGATGCCTGGATTAAGCTCTTTAAATCTTCCCCACATTGTTCTTGTATCATAACTGGGTTATATAACATAACTTGTATCATAACAGGGTTTTTGAATGTAAGGGCTTCCTTCTAACCTGGCCCCTCTCTCCCTAGATCAAAGGCCTCTGAGTGGCTTCAAGGATCAGCTGTGCTCACTGGTATTCATGGCCCTCATAGACCCCAGTACCCAACTTCAGCTTGTTGGCATCCGTACACTCACAGTTTTGGGTGCACAACCAGGTACATCTTAAGGGAAAGAGAGAACTTTCCTTGCAATTTTCTATCTTAAGAGCAGTCTTATTGCAAATCTGATGATTGGGGTTCCTAACAGGATTTTGGGAAGGGTAGTTGCAGGGGAAGAAAGATGAGATTAATATTCCCTTCTAACTACAGATCTCCTATCTTCTGGAGACTTGGAGCTGGCTGTGGGTCACCTATACAGACTGAGCTTTGTGGAGGAGGATTCCCAGAGTTGGTGAGAATCAAAGCAGTGAGACAGAGAGCAAGCAATTCCCTGCCTTTGTACTGGTAGCAACAGACCAAGCAAGGAACAGGGCTCTATGCTTCTGACCATTGGCTGTCCTTAGGGAGGTGGCTGTGTGTTAGGCTCTGGCTGCTAACCAGTTGGAAAGATGTGGGATTGCCTCTTTTGTGGGGCAAGGGGGGATTTCAGAAGCCCTGTACAACTCAGTGGTGTAGATACTTGAGTCCTGCTCTTTTAGCAAGAAAGCCTCAGAAGCCTATACTCCAGAATCTTCCTAATGTCAGACCTAGCCAGGAGAGTGGTAGGCCAAGGCTCAGCCAAAACACTTCTGCTCTGTGCCCCCAGCAGGATGGCAGCACTGGAAGCAGCAGGAGCCTTGGCCACTCTCTACCCTGTGGCCTTCAGCAGCCACCTAGTACCCAAGCTTGCTGAGGAGCTACGCATAGGTATGTATCTTTAATCTTGTGTGGCCTACCCCTTCCCAGCAAGGCATTGGAGCCCTCATGCTTGCCATCACAGTGAAACCTTGTCTCCTGGGTTGCTTCCAGGGGAATCAGATTTGACTAGAGGGGATGGGCCCACCAAGTGCTCCCGGCATCTGCGCTGTATGCAAGCCTTGTCAGCTGTATCAACACATCCCAGCCTTGTTAAGGAGACCCTGCCTCTGCTGCTGCAGCATCTCTGGCAGGTGAACAAAGGTAACTACCAGGAATAATATCCATGGAGCCCGGCTGAATGGGGACTTGTAGTCAAGTTTGGAGTTGAAACTTCTGTGGCAATCGTTTAACTAGCTATACAGTTAGAGTAGATTAAGAGTGATGTAGCAAACTTTCCAAAAAGTACTGATACCTGGGTCCAGCTGAATCTGGTTCTGAGGAGGGACAGGACTTAAGCAACAGTAATTGTTAGAGTGCTCAGGTTGTTTTCACATGAGATAAGAATTGAGAAACACCACACTAAGGCCATGGTGCTCAAAATATGATCTGTCAGTCAAGCAGCATCAGCACCATCTTGGAACTTGTTAGAAGTACAGAGACTCAGGCTCGGTGTCTGTAGCTCAGCGGCTAGGGCACCAGCCACATACACCAGGGCTGGCGGGTTTGAACCCAGCCCAGGCCTGCCAAACAACAATGACAACTACTACAACAACAACAAAAATAGCTGGGTGTTGGGTGGCGCCTGTGGCTCAGTGAGTAGGGCGCTGGCCCCATGTACTGAGGGTGGCAGGTTCAAACCTGACCCTAGCTAAACTGCAACAAAAAATAGCCGGGCATTATGGCAGGCGCCTGTGGTCCCAGCTACTCGGGAGGCTAAGGCAAGAGAATCAAAGCTCAAGAGCTGGAAGTTGCTGTGAGCTGTGATGCCAGCACTCTACTGAGGGCAACAAAGTGAAACTCTGTCTGTATAAAAAATAAGTAAATAGGCTCGGCGCCTATAGCTCAACCGGCTAAGGCGCCAGCCACGTACACCTAAGGTGGCGGGTTC